GTAATCATTCTTCTAAAAATTAATTATAAAAATACTATATATAATCAAAAATTGCAAATTAAATCTTCAATTATAATTCTAATTTAGTTAATTTTACTAATAGAATTTGAACTAATAATATTGCAATTGTAACTTGAAAGTGTAACTACTATACTATAAACTCACAAATCAATAAAAGATATTTTAAAATTGAATTAGACAAAAAAAAATTTAGATAATTTTAAAACTATTATTAATGATTTTTAATTATATTTAATATTATTAGCAATACTTTATTAACTTCAAATTAAAAAATATGAACATATTATTTTATTAGTATTAATAGTTAATATATAATAAGAATCAGTATTTTATTGTTTAGATAACTTATTATAAACAAAAAATATAATTCATTCTATATTAGTTAAAAACAATATTAATATAAATAATATTAAACTTCTTATTATGAATAATCAGTTTTAGCAAAATCTTAAAAATCTTCATAATTTTTTAAAAGTTTTTGTTCATTTTATTAATGAGCTTGAAAGAGATATATCACTTTTATCAGTTGCATTTTTAAAATTATAACAGTTAGAAATATCTATATACAATAATATTTGTATTTCAAATATAATTATTATAGAAAATATACAATTTGTAGAATATTATTAGAATAATTTTTTATATGATCTAGTAACTATAGTAGTATATAAACTAGATTCTTGATATTGTAGTGAGATTTTGAATCTATACAAATAGAACTCAATAATTAAAAGAGAATTAATGTATCTTACTAGATCAGAAAATAAAATCTAAGTTTTAGAAAAGTTTGCTGAATATATTAAAAAATATAATAGATTTTCAGCTAGTTATTTGTAGAATTCTATTAAAAAAAAACTATACAATTAGTAGAATTTAATTAAAGTATGATATCTAGTACTAAGTAATATAGCGTTAAAATTACTTTTAATATCTGCAACTTCTGTAGCTAATAAATAAAACTGGTCTGTATTTAATTTTATTTATACTAAATTATATAATTATTTGCTTAATTTATATAGAAAAAATTATATATATGAATTAGAATCTTCAGGCTTTATATTTACTAAAGACAATTGCTATTTGTATACTATATGTATATATATATAGTGATACAAAGTATTAGAAAAGCCAATCAAAATTTAAGATCAGATATAACATGTTTGTATAACAAAAACAAAGAATTTTAATAAAAAAAATCAAAATTTGATAATATCTCAAAAATTCACTTATGAAACTATCTCTGCAGCTCTAACAAAAAAAATTTCTTGCTAAATTTTACATATATATAACTCTTGGCTAAAATCTTAAGTCTTGCTCTAACCCTAAAGTTAAAAAATTTTTTTTTAATAAAATTTATTTATTTTTTTTTTTTTTTTTTTTTAAGCGAAGCCAAGGTGAGGCCATATTTCTATCTTTATTAATAATTTAATTAAAATTTACAAAGAAATTTTTATATACTATGTAATACAAGGTATAATCTTAAACTATATGACAAGATTTGAAACTCAGACTAATTTATCTGTGACCTAAACCTACTAGAGTGGTCATGACTTACCTAGATTTGAATGTTGATAATGTTATTAGTTGGAATACTATATTTGATCTATGTAATAGACCAAATATATAGTTTATAGTAAGCTAATCTCTCTAATAGGCATAAAGAATTTCTGTGTTGTTTTTTGAGATAGCTACATATAGAAGTAATTTTATTTGAGTTTGAGTAATTATATATTAAAAGTGAACTTGGTTGTATAATATTAGCTCGTATAGATTGTTTATGGAGATTAATATTGTTTGTTTGTTTCCATTTAGAGAGTTTAGTACAATAAGGTTTCTATAGTTACTTATATATTAATTCTGATATTTTTATGAATAATAATATTATGAGTTGGTGAGCAGATTTGTGAGAGTCAGTATATAGATATAGTAACTGAGTAAGATCATTTGGTATAAGATCTGTAATAGTTTGGTAAAGTAAAATATTATTAGAAAATGGTTAAAGTAGTTGTAAAGAATGATAGTTAATAAATAAGTTTTGAAGATTAAGGAGTTGTGAAGGTAATATATCGAGATTATTTGTTATAAAGTTAGATTGTATATTTGATTTAATTATATCAAAGATTAATTATGAGTTAGGACAAAATATCCAGTGTATACTATCATCAGATTGATCACAATGAATATATTGTTTTGATTTAATGGTATTAGGATAGTATTTATGTAGTTGAGATATAGTTAGAAGATTACTGAGAAGATTTTTAACTTGAAAAGTTTTAGTCTTGCTCAGTTTGTAGTTAGTGTAGTTGCATAATTGTGAAAGATTATTATTGATTACTGCTCAAGTTATATTCCAGTCAACTTGGTTTGAGAATTGTTTCTATAGTTGTGCTCTAAATTGTGAGAACCATAGAGCTATTGTGAAAGCATTAAAAATATTTTTAATGAATTTATGTGTTAGTTATTCAATAGAAAAATTTTCCTATTAGAGTATTTAAGAATTATTAAAATAATTTGTATAGTTGAATTCAAGAGATCCTAAAAGTGAGTGGTGTGATACTAAAAAGTCTACTGTATTGTTAAATTCATTGTCACTATGTGCTTGAACTTTATAAAAGACAATATCAATTTTTTGTGATTTAATAAAATTGAGTAAAGTTTCCTAAATTGGCCAGTAATTATATTTTATTTTAGTATTATAATTAGGTATTTGTTGTTGAATTTTGTTGAATTTAGAGATTACTGATTGTGAGTCAGTAAAGATTTGTATTTTGTAATTTTTTAGTAAGGTGCTTATAGCAGAAAGTATTGCAATAAGCTCTGCTTTATAAGATGATAGCTATGTTTTAATTTGTGTAGCAAAAGTTTTGGTTACTTGGTTGTTATAAATTTGAATCCAGCCAATTCCCATAGAGCATTAGTCTGTGTATATATTTTGTACTGAACCATCAGTGTAAAATATAAGCTCTTGTTGATCCAAATTTTGTTTAGCTATATTTTGCAGAATTTTTAAAATTTCATTAAATCCAAATATTTCAGATATATAATTGTTTTCTAAATTAATATTTGGAAGTAGTGGAATAGTTAATGAATATCTAATTGCTAGATTGTAAATTAAATCTGTTAAATTAGCATTAAGTTTTAATTTGTTTAAAGAATTATTTGTAAAAAACCTAGCCCAAACTTTAGTACTATGTGTAGCTAATATATCAATAGTACATAAGTTTGTAATACAGTTAGAATTTAAACTGCAACCTGAATATAGTAAGCAGTTAACAGAAAGATTTAGATAGTAGGCTATATGATTTGAGTTATAGTCTGTAGTCTAATGAGTTATTAATATAGTATTGTTATTTGAAAAGAATTTATAAGCCTTTTCTAGGATAATTTGATTATTTGTTGTTAAAAGTATCCATAGTTTTTTGGTTTTGAAATGATCTGTACTTAGAAGAAAAAAGTTAGGAGAATGTAAAGATATTGAATCTATAATCTCTCTAGTATATGAACTTGTAGTAATTGTTTCTTTTAAGAAAGAGAACTACAAAGGCTGTTTTCCTTTAGAAAGATATTGTAATTGAGATAAAATATGTTGCCATTTAAGAAGGGTGTTGTTAATAATATATTTTATATATAATATAAACTTTATATTATTAATATTTTATTAAATCATTTAAAAAATAATATCAACTCTTTAATTTTTCAAGCAAATTTGCTTAGAATACAGTCTAAGAGATATCTATATCCTGTTAAAAATATATGAGAATGACTTTAAATTTTATTGAAGAGGTAAAAGCAATACAAATTCAAAAAGAAGTCAACATACTTGAGATTTATAAAATTTTTACAGAGACTCAAGTCTAGAAGAGAGAATATATTGGAATATGAATTGATGCTCTGTTCTAAAGTCACAAGTTTTTTTATTTTTGTTATTTTTGTTATTTTATTTCTTTTATTTATTTATTATTATTTTAGTCTTTTTTTTTTATTATTTTATATTTGTATATAGTTATTTATTTATATTTTGCCCTATTCATACTCTTATTTACATCTAAGAACCATAGTAGATAATCAATAGTGTGAGCAGTTAAGAGCTATAGTATCAGAAATTAACTAATATAAGCAGTGTAGCTCTATACTATCTAGTGTTAGAGGCTAACTATACTACCTCCACTCAAGAGAAACACAGCAACAATGTCACTAACAAAAACCAACATACAGTATAATGTAATACTACTTTAAAGAGGGGCGAGATTTGATTTGGCATAGTTAAGGCAGTAGTGAAACATTATTCAAGATAAGTATTTTATTTATTTAATTGATTATTAAAATCTGTTAAAAAAATTTGTTCTACATATTGGCAAAGTTACATCTCTTTTATACAAGTTTTTGGAAATACAGAAGAGAAACAAAAAGAAACAAGAAGAAAAAAACAGAACTAAAATGAAAGTTTCACTTCGTTATTTTCAATGAATAACCTTAAAATTTATCATGGTGCTGAGACACAGTTATGAACTAATTTGGATATAGTTAATTCAACTTATTATTATTTCTAAGCTGCTTCTTTGATAATCAAGTTAAGTATCTAACAATACCTTTTTAGGCTTAACTTCAAATTTGTTGATTATTAGTTCTGCAGGATCTTCATATGCAATCTGAGTTTTATTTGGTATATAGGTCTTTGGATCAGTTTTTAGATTTTGCGAATCACTCTGAGGCACAGTTTCTTCTTTTTCTGATATACTAATTTTGTCTCTGACAATTTCTCCTTCCTTAATTTTTCATGTCTACATGAAAAAAAATCAGGTTCGTAGAGTTCTAGGTTTTTGATTTGTAAAGCATTTTTCTGGGGAGTTTTGACTTATTGGTATATGTAAAAAAAAAAAATATAAATTAAACTAAAAAATATAAACAATACAACAAACAAAAAAAATAGACTAAAAAAAACCAACTAAAGACAAAAACAATAATGACAAAGATAAAACTTACTCTGTGTATTTGAAAGACTTTGAACTCAATGAATTTAATAATGCAGCTAATAACGATGATGCTGATTCTGGTGAAATTAATAGTGATTTTGATGATAGAACAGTTGTTGCTGAATATAAAAGGCTCAAGGTATTCGAATAGGATGTAGACCTTGACAAAGCCTATGAATATTGGAATAGAAAGGTTAATAATTTCAAAAAACTGTCTAAGGTGACTCAAAAGTGATAAAGAACCCATATCTAGTCAAGTTAGGAGAATGTTTACTATCTAATAATAGTATACGTAGTCTTAGCTCTTATTACTAGAATAAAGATAGCTCTAAAAAAGAAGAACTGAGTAAAGATAATAAACTATCTGAATAGGTAGCTTATCGAATAAAATGACAAAAAATCAGCAAAAACATCTTTCAAATCTTACTAACACATAACTTATGTAATTAGATATTTGACTCTAGTAGATAAAATTTTTTTAGAATAATTGGAATCTATTGATCAAAAAAAAAAAAAAAACTTGAAAATCATTAAACGTAGAACATAGAAGCCCCACTCAGGTTACTCACTACAAGCAAGTTGAGTATAGTCAGTTGTATATATAGAAGACATGAAGCAACTGAAGTATCAGGCTTCTGCTGGTCATAGCATACTTAAGAAGCAACTATAAAGTACAGCAGATATAATGTCCTAGATTTATACTCGTGAAATGTCATTGACTTGTTAGTGCATATTTAAAGCTTATGACTGTCTGTAAGATTTTATCCCTTAGATTGTCTAGCAAGCAAATTTGCTTGCCTTTATATTTAATTTTAAATAAAACTTTAAATATTAATTTTAAAAATATACTTTCTAAGTAAAATATATTTTTT